ATGACAGATCCCTACTAGAATCTACTAGACATCTTTCCAATTTCACTATGAATCATTGATAATTACTTTGACACAGTCTTCCAACCAGAGTGCTATTATATGGATGCCTATCCCATCTCACAGGCTTCCCACGAGCTCACTAATGAAAATCTTTGAGACAATGTAAAAAGTTTTCCCCAATGTCAATGTTACTACTGTTCTTCCTTGATACATAAAGCCTGTTTTCCTGTCATCCAAGAAAATCAGACTTCAACATTATTCTTGACAGATCCATATTGAGTACTAGTCCTTTTTTATTTTTCCCCCTATATTCCTTATATTTTAGAAATAGTTAATGATTTTTTTTAGAAGTACAATAATTAATACAGTTTACAAATAGTTTTCTTTGGTTGTTCTTACAATATTTTTCCAGAAACCACAATAAAAATATCAAACTTAAATAAAAATTAGTAAATTATATTTTTGTTATACAGCTAGATTTGCCCTTCTCCAGTCTCCTCAGAGTTCCCAAAGTTGGCTACTAGACTAAGGGCCACATTCAGGGTCAGTTTCATCACACACATCCAATCCGAAAACAGTTTTTAGTGTTTCAGAAAGAAACATCTCAGTTAAGAAAGGAAGTTTCAAAAGCCAGTAACCCTCAGACAAACAAGGATAGATCTATCACTTTTTAGTACAGATATGATAGATCACATCACTTTGTCCTTAAAAGTACAGCTTTTTGATAATTTTAATTGAAATTTGTTGAAGGAATCAATAACTATGTGGATAAGTAAGACTGACAAACTAGCTGACACAGCCAGCTTGGACTTCCAAAGCCATTCTTTCAGAAAGGCTCCTCTCCAAATGCTTACAAGAAAAATAAGCAGCAATTAGGTAAGCGGGATGGTACTTTCATACATAAATATTTGATTACAAGAGAGGAAATAGCAGAAACACATGGACAAGCCATAAAACCAACAGAAGCCCCCTGTGGACTTTTGCTGCAACCTGTGGCTGGGCTTTGCACTGTCTGACAGGTCCTAAGCAACCCAGAGAACACAGCAAGATGACTAATTTTCCTCATGATATTAGGTTATTCAGGGCAGTAGAGACAAAAGCCAAATGCAAAGAAGGATTTTATACAGCTAAGCAACTAGGCAAGGGCTGACAGATGAAATTCAGAGATAAATGAAGTGAATTTTCACACAAGTGAAAATAAGCCCACCTTCATGTGTAACAAGCTGGGATCTAAACTGATTATAACTACTGGTGAGATTCTTCAGCTGTGATAAATACTTCCACTAAAACATTAGCTCAGCACTCAGTAGCAGTAAAAAAAAAGTCATCCAAAGCTAGAAAGAACAAATTGAATGTTGGGAATTGTTGGGAGACATACAGAATAAGAGGGCAAACAATACAAGACCAATGCATAACACTTTACACCTATATCATGAAAAACGTGAGCCTTTTTGGTCTCCTCACCTCAAAAAAAATGTAATAGGTCTGAAAAAGATTGAGAAGAATCAAAGAAATATCAGAGTTTCATAAAAGGAACTATCACACATGCTAAGATTCTCCTGCCTGGAAGAGCTGAGGGAGGGATGTGATGATAGTGTCCTATAAAATTAGCACTGAGGCCAGCACCAGCCTTTAACTATTTAACGTTTCCTCCAGTACAAGGAACAGGAAATCCTAGCAAAGGAGCCAAAGTCTAGTGTAAAAACAAATGAAGAGCAGTGGTTCTTCAAATGACATGTTAATCTGTGGATTTACTGTCATAGGAGGTTGGGGACATGAGAATTTTACATAGATGCAAAAGCAACTGTCTTAATTCAAAGAAAAGTTTTCTCTTCTCAGAGAAATAAGGAATGGGATCAGCAGAACTGCTACCTTAGACTTCCGGAGAGCAGATTTTGGCCTGTTTAGGAGACTGGTTGACAGAGTCCCTTGGGAGACAGTCCTGAAAGGTGAAGGAGCCCAGGAAGGCTGGACATTCTTCAAGAAGAAAATAAGGGCACAGGAGAAGGCTGGTCCCCATGTACCAGAAGATGAGCCAGCAAGGAAGACCAGCCTGGCTGAACAGAGAGCTTTGGCTGGAACTCATGAAATAAAAAAATTAAAAAAAGGAGTTTATGACATTTGGAAGAAGAGGCAGGCAGCAGAGGCTATGCAGGGAGAAAATTAGAAGGGCCAAAGCCCAATTAGAACTTCATCTGACTACTGACATTAAAGACAGTGAAAAAATGTTTCTATAAATACATTAGCAAACAAAAGAATGGCTAAGGAGAATCTCCATCCTTTATTGGATGTAGGGGAAACAGTGACAGACAAAGGATGAGGAAAAGGCTGAGGGGTACTTAATGCCTTCTTTGCCTCAGTCTCTAATAGTAAAACCAGTTCTTCAGGTAGCCACCCAGTCTGAGCTGGAAGACAGGAATGGGGAGCAGAATGAAGGCCCCATAATCCAAGGGGAAATGGTTAGTGACTTGCTACACCACTTAGACACACACATCTATGGGGCTGGATAGGACCCACCCAAGGGTACTGACAGAGCTAGGGGAAGCGCTCACCAAGCCACTTTTCAATCATTTACCAGCAGTCTTGGCTAACTGTGGAGGTCCCAGCTGACTGGAAGTTAGCAAATATGATGCCCATCTACAAGAAGGGCTGGAAGGAGGATCCAGGGAACTACAGACCTGTCACTCTGACCTCAGTGTCACAGAAGGTTACTAAGCAGATCATCTTGAGTGCCACCATGCAGCATGTGCAGGAGAACCAGGTGATCAGGCCCAGTCAGCATGAGTTTATGAAAGGCAGACCCTACTTGACTAACCTGATGTCCTATGACAAAGTGACCTGCTTAGAGGATGAGGAAGACTATCACATCCTTTCCCACAGCATTCTTGTGGAGAAACTGGCTGCTCGTGACTTGGACAGGTCTACTCTTTGCTGGGTAAAAAAACTGGGTGGCTCAGTTTTCACCATTCACCAGCTGGTGAATGGAGCTCAATCCAGTTGGCAACCAGTCACAAGTGGTGTTCCCCAAGCCTCAGTATTCGGGCCAGTTCTGTTTAATGTCTTTATCAACAACCTGGAGGAGGGATTGAGTGTACCCTCAGTAAGTTTGCAGATGACACCAAGTTGGGCAGGAGTGTTGATCTGCTCAAGGGTCTGAAGGCTCTGCAGAGGGATCAGGACAGACTGGATTAATGGGCTGAGGCCAACTGTATGAGGTTCAACAAGGCCAAGTGCCAGGTCCTGCACTTGGTCACAACAACCCCAAGCAATGCTACAGGCTTGGGGATGGGTGACTGGAAAGTTGCCCAGCAGAAAAGGACCTCGGGGTATTGGTTGACAGACAGCTGCATATGAACCAGCAGTGTGCCCAGTTGGCCAACAGCATCCTAGCCTGTATCAGAAATAGCATGGCTAGCGGGAGTAGGGAAGTTATTGTGCCTCTGTACTCTGCACTGGTGAATACACCTTGAATACTGCATGCAGTTCTGGGCTCCTCACTACAAGACAGACATTGTGGTGCTGGAGCAGGTCCAAAGAAGGGCAACGAAGCTGGTGCAACATCTACAGAACAGGTCTTATCAGGAGCAGCTGAGGGAACTGGGGTTGTTTAAGCCTGGAGAAGAGAAGGCTCAAGTGACACCTTATGGCTCTCCACTACCACCTGACAGGAGGTTGCAGTGAGGTGGGGGTCGGTCTCTTCTCAAGTAAGAAGTGATAGGACAAGAGGAAATGGCCCCAAATTGTGCCAGGGAAGTTTAGATTGGACACTAGGAAAAAATTTCTTCAAAAGGGTTGTGAAGCACACAACCACTCCAGCAGGTGACAGTCTCTAAATACCGGATTCAGATTCCAAATGCCAATACAAAATGTTAATGTGACACTTCCGTAGAAAATGCTACCAAAATGGAGTGTATTAGAATATTTCTCCTATTGCTAAGGTAACCCCAACTATCGCGATTAGAATGTCTAACCAATAAGGCTTTTGAACAGCAGAACCTCCAGACATATTTTCAATAATATTGGTTCAAGCAGCATCCTAGTGCATCTACTATAAATACTCAGTAACTATTGCTGTCAGTCTAGACACAGAAGTTATACAAGAAAACAGTAAGTTAATCCACTGTTCTGAAATCCTGATCAAGACCCAGTCAGTTTCCCACTGAAGTAACTGGTATCAGGCTTGTTAGTTCCATAGATATTTAGATTCATGACATGCCTAAGAGGTGGAAATTTTGGTAAGAAGCACTGATATCACAAACTCATAAGCAAATTAAAAATTTCAGTTGCTGCTGCCTGCCAACAAAGAAGTTTAGATTGAGAATCTGGAAGTGAGAGAAACACAGGATTGTGTTTTTGTCTAGGGAAAGTTAACAGATGGTCTAAAAAGGAGCAGCCTTAAAATAAGACCAGCAGCCAAAAAGTGTGTGGAGACAGCAATACAAAAATTTTTTTTTATCTATTCTGTGTCACTGTTTTTATAGCTTTGTGAAATAGCGTACAGTCTGAAAGCTTGACCTTATAGCTTTATTCATCCAGATTAAAATATTTTATCTTTTTATAACTTTTGGAAAGGAATGTTATGTTCTGAATAGAAGAATTCAAAATACACATTTACATGATGCTGTTTTTCTATGAGACAGGTCTCTGAAACATTGCTGAAAACACAACTTGAACCTCATTCTGTTAATGTAGAATTACAGAAGCTTGCATATGGGGATTTAATATCCTATCGTATCTTTAAAAAACTCAGCAGCCAAATCCCTATACAGCTCTCAAAATATGCCTCAATGTTTATTTATACTTTCGCAAAGGTGGCTCATTTATCTCTTCAGAAAAGGTTGCTACGTATATTTAGACTGTTGCTGCAAAAAAGCACAGGAGTCTCAAAAACAAGAAAGTAGTAACAAACAATTATTTTCTTCAGCTATAACATGAAAGAATGTTGCATGAAGGAAGTTATAATGTGCATTCAGATTGTTATTAATGTGCTTTCCTACCATTTAGCAGCCAGAGGCAGATAGATCAAGATACACAACTCCTGTAAATGTCAAACTTGTTCCATCATCAGATACAGTCCCATAAGCAAAATATTCTGTACTTTGTTGTAAATCAACAGAAAAACTTTCAGAATTACTTACCTGATTTTCTTCATGGGAAACTCTCATTTGTTCTTTAAGAACTGACATTCTGGCTGCTTCTTCTTTCCTCAATACTCTTTCTTTCTTTAGCTCAGGACTCCAGAAAGTTTTGATGCTATTCATGGAGGATCCCAGCTTGCTGTCCTTAATGTCTAGTTCTTTTCTGAGAAGATCATTCTCCCTCTGTAGCTCCTTAAGCTGAGCCTGCAGGTCTAACATGGTACTATCTCTAACCTGTCTTAGCATAGAAGGAACCTGATGGTGGTGATGGTGTGAAGATGTGGTCAGACCTCCATGCTGATCAGTATAAGAAAGGACATCTGTGTGTGAAAGTCCAGCTGAAGCAATATTAGGACTGCTCCCCATAGCTGTGACTCGACCACCATACACAGCTCGATTCGTAGCCCTTCCAAGAGTCATTGTGCCCTTTGGGAAAGTAGTAGAAGCTACACCTTCATGGTCACTCAAATACATTGGTCCAGATGTTGCATAGGCTGCATTAAGGGACTGGATGTTCTCCATTGATAACGTCTTACCTGTTCCTCCTCCTCCTCCGCTATTTGTTCGCCTATGGCCCAGGCGAGGAGATCTTGGCAAACGAGGAGACCTGGAGGGACTTCCTTCTAAGTTGCTGATTGTTCTTGCACTTCCATACATTTTTCTTCTACTTTGAGGTACTATTTAGTAAGAAATTAGTAACACTAAAGTTGAATATTAAATTTATAATTCCAGCTAGAAATATTGGCAGTTTCACTGCATTCTTCCAGTAGGCAAAAATCTAGTTCCTCCAAAGTCAGAGACCTGAAAAAAGATATTACAAAATTAAGTAAATTTTCACCTTGGAGAACAAGTTTACAAGTAATCAGCATATATCAGAAAATAAAGTAGCCCACTTCCTAGAGTAATTACTTTAAAAGTAAAATTTGCTATAAATTTTTTATTCAGGATGACTAGTTAAAAATGCATTTTCAGATTAGTTTCATTGAAAAGAAAAAACTGCTCATTTCTTTCTTGCTAGAAAATATCATGACATTTTGACTTAGTTTAACAAGCTTTATATTGCAATAAACAACGCAGGCCCAAAAACATAACTTAGCCGACACGTTAATGGACTTAAATGACTGACCATGCAGAATTATATAAAGGAAAAGAAATAGCTGTTGTTGACATTAAGAACTACCCAAACTAATTATTATTTTCAAAAGAGTATAAAAGTAGCAATTCAGCAGTTCTGTATATTCTCTAATAAGATTAGATTAGTTAAGACAGAACAAGAAAATAGGCAGCGTTTTTAATTTTTCTTTGAACTAAAGAAGTTTTTGGACAGGAAAAAAGATGAAGGAAACTATTTATAATAGTTTAGCTGTAACAAGTAAAAGTGTATTTTACTAAGAAAAATTAACAATGAAACTAAGCTTGAGTAAATATTCCTTCTAAACAATCATAATGTATTACAACAGAGTAATATTTGTTCAATGAAGCACTAGCTTGCTAATATTTATTGCTAATAAACTCTCCAGGAAAAGGCTGCATGACAATAATCTAGGTTTTCATTTAGAAAAGGAGTTTGTGAAATACAATTTTTCCTATGGATATGATTGCTTTGACAGAGCTACCCTTGTAATTTATTTAACCAAACAGATAGATGTGGAGCAATGCTCTGTTTTCGAATTTTTCAATACTATCATTATACATTTACCAACTTTCAAGTAAGTTTATTAACTTTACATAACATAAATATAAACATAAAAATAGGACTTTAGGATTAGGACCAACAAAATTTATTTTTTTTTTAAAACAAATCTGCCCATTTCAATAAACTTGTGCTATTAATTAAATTGGTGGTCATTAACGAGATCTAGTACCATTTATTTTAAAGGTAACTAGAGGAAGAACAAAATTTGAAGTAATCTTTAACCATACCCTCCAGGCATCCTCATTATCTATAGATGCATTAGTTCCCAGCAGTTTAAAACGTGTTCTACATTTGCTGTGAAAACAAAGTGTCAGTGCAGGGGCAGGCAGAAGAATTATTTGACGTCATATTTATTAATAACCTCTAGTATATTAAGTCCTCACCAACAATATTAGCGTAAAACATTATGGACACTAATGACATCAGCAAACAAGCAGCATGCCGAGTTCTCCACTGACCCCTCGATATTCCACACAATCACATGCCACATGGCTCTCATGAATTCTAAGAATTGCTTCATATATGCTACACTTTCATCAAGTTTAACAGCCAGCATAGTCTGAAGCACTTTTGTTTCATCTGAATTACCAGTATGCATCTGAATTAGCTGAAATGTTTCAACTTGTTTCAACTACTATTACACAACAGTGACTTCTTGTGAATTTTCACCTCTTTCCCAAGGGGTCACAAGAGTCCTCTGTCAAGAATCACAAGATTCAGAAGTGGAAGGCATGGCACTACACTATACTGAAACGTTGATGACAACGGGTACCGGGCAAAAATATCAGTGTGGTATTTATTCAATATTGATAACTTGGAAACACTGAACTCTTTGTACTGCACCCAGGCTGCTCCATTAAAAGTAATTCATTTCAACACAAACATTGCCCTTGGCAAAATGGATCAAACAAGCCAACATAACATTGTTCCATACCCACTATTTTAACAAGACCAGTAATTCTGTCATAAAGCATTACCATTTTTTGCCATGTACAATTTGGCTATGCACAAAGCAAAGTAGGGGTACCTACTTCAATAAGAAAAAGGTTTTAACTATTTAGGAGGACATAGACAGAAAATTACATTCTAGTAACTCTTTTCTACTTCAGGATAACATAACTCAAAATAACATGAATATTTTTAATTCTAGAGACCAAAGCTTGATCCAACTTTTTGAGACATTAAAACCTCTTAAAGCTTCCAGAATTCAACCCCAGGGCATACATATTTAAAAGAATCAGGTGTAACTTGCTGATTTGTGTTTTCAAATTTAGACATTTTCGTGAGTATCCAAATCTGCCCCCGACTTCATCTGTCATCCAGCATTCAAGAGACAACCTACAGCTTATCCCAGAAAAAAAAAAATGGTGCAGCTTTTCTGCCATCTCAACTTCAATGTAGTGATCAATAGAAACCGATTCTTATCATGGTAACTGGGGGCAATGCAATTGCTTATCCTAATTTGCAAGTGCCAGCCATCCTCTGGCCAAATAACACTCAATGCACCCTGAGAAATCCATCCTTGTCTATTTCTAGTTCTGAAGCTCCTTCAAAGAGCATCTCATATGAGATCAAAGCTGGAGATCATTTTCCTTCCACTAACTCATGACAGATCCTGAGCAAAAGCAACTGTCTTCTACACAGATACAATTCTCCCATGTCAAAAAAATCTAAAATATAAAAAAATAAAATTAAAAAAATAACAATCTGTCCTGGTGAAAACCTAAGATTGCTAGCATAAAGTGTCAATGTAAACTAGATAAGATACAATCAAATATTTTTAGATGCAGCAAACCTGATACATGGCCAGGTGTTGGGGGTTGGTGCAGATTTGTTGATTCTCAAAAATATAAGTATAGGATACCCTTACATCACATCAATACTCTTTTTCCTTTCCATTGCCTCAGTCTGATAAATAAGTAACTTTTGACTCTTCCTTTGAGTCACTTAATATCCTACCTATCTTCTGGTTTATGTCTCTGATATGTATTTTTAGGTATTTGCTTCGCCTTTTAGAGTTTTAGTTCTGGTCTGTCTTTTTTTCCCTACTTGTGTGAACTTTAGAGACATTATCATCTCAAAGCAGAAAATGCTTTTATCTTGCTTAGCACTCCAACATTTACCATTGAGCCCTACTGAAAAAGGGAATTGTGAACACTCATCCAGAAGGAAGCTAACTTCTCTATGGACTCCCTTTTTCTTTAATAATAATGTTCACATACTGATTTAACATTGTAACTTTCATATGTCGGTCAAAATCCCAAAAGCAACAGGAGAAGTAAAACACCACCAACCAAGGAAATTTTATTTACTTCCACAGCATTTTTAATTATTAGTTTTATTTTCCCCCTAAAAATGTCCTGATCAAGATAGAGACCTCTATGTAGAAAAGTGCAGGTACACTGACAATATGCTTGGATTTCCTACTTTCACAGGCTACTAAGGATAGCTCACAGAACAAAAGCTGAAAATCTTGATTTAAAGATATTCTTACAGTTCATATCTATTTTCATTTGCAACTTATTACTTTCTACAACCTGCATTACTCAGACTGGCTTTCTTGCATATGCCCTGGAGAAAGGAAAGCACATGGAGTTGTGCTTCTTGAGCCTTCCTTCATGGCTGTGAAAAGCCTCAGACACAGTACAAGCCATATACCATTGCTTTAGAGAAAAGGAGAGAAAGGCACCTATGTCATTTTCCACTCTTACCACTAATACACAGAGCCTTCCCAGTTTGAGGAAGATGTACTGTGTGTCTCAACACATCAGAAACTGCAGGCATGAAGAAACAGTATCAGACTCAGGGCCTCAACAACTGCCACACAGATCATCCACTGCCCAAAGAAAAAGAGAGGAGATCCTTTCTCCCATCTTCCCATAGAACCTGCTCACACAAAGCTGGTGTAGTTGAACTTAGAGTGGGCAGGTGAGATACAGATGATTCTACCTTGAAAACTAAACCAATTTTATATTGCTATTTTAGTCGGGGGGGGGAGGAATTATTACTCTGAAGAACTGGTTTTCACCCAATATTTCAAGGACTTCTTTGGTGAACTAAAGCATAACCCCTATGCACCTTAGTGCATGGAGCAGAGAATGGAATCAAGCAGAAATAAAAGAATCTCATACATTATGGGGAGGATGGAAGGGCTGTATAGACAATTACAGTACATGCACAACTAAAGAGATCAACCCTCCCTCTTGACAGAAGCCCAGAAGCTGTGGATGTTGCAGCAGCAAGCACAAAGGAGCTCCAATACAACTGAAAGATTATATCCCCCTAAAAACTTCTGAGACAAAGTCACCAAGATTCATTCAGTCTGGTCTGGGGCAGACTGCAGACCCACTGCATACAGTGTGCCATAAAAGGTTATTTCGAGTTAAAATTCAAATCAGCCTAATAGTACTAGAAAAAAACACAGATGCCCACCTGCTTGTTTCAACATTTTCTTACTTTAAAAATACTTTAGGGTACATAATGCATACCTTCGAAACTAACCATTATAATTGTGACATTAATATTTGCCATTGCAAAAAAAACTCTACAAAAAGATCTAGAAAATTAACCATACATTTGGGGGGAGCTCCAGACACTTCCCCCTCCACCACCCCATTCTCACCAGCCTTGAAAAATCCCAGCAAATATGAAATAGTCTATGTCATGCTAAAATACTTCCTGGTGGCTGTTCTAACTTAGCCTTAGCTTATTTTCCACATTTCTGCTTTACCTCATCACCTGCACTCTGCAGACAACAATGTCATGGGTTTACATTTCCCACAACACTTAAGTCTCTGACATTGCATTTTATTTGCCTTTTAAATCTTTCTATATACACCTAAAACATAGGATCCTAATATGATGCTAATGGAAGGGTCCGTCTCAGTCAATGTAGTTTCCAAATACATTACTTCTACATTTTACATAATTACAGTTTTCTTGTAATAATGTCTTTACAGAATCCCATAATTTCTGATTTTCACTGGCTACATACTCTTATCTCCTCCCCTAAAAACACCCAACTAATTTCATTAAATTGTTTAAATAAGTCAGTGTCACCAAGTTCAAAGCAAGTGAGAATTTTCTGCATTGTGTCTTGAC